CTTTTGTAAAACTAATTTGTTCATATTCTTGCGATGAAAATTATAGAGCGAATTTATTTGTAAAACCTAATTTTTGTTAAAAATTTTTGCGATTGAGTAATTGTTCTAAGATTTTACTGAAAAATAACTAAAACATTAACAATTTATTAAATAAAACAGAGACGATGATGAATGATGTACCTCTTTCAGTCAAGAGTAGACAAATTGAAAAAAAAAACCGCCAAAAATGATCCCAATTGTAGATCCGGAACTTTTAAAAGATATTGACAAGTCAATTGGTACGGATTTAACAATGTCTCCACTACCAAGGTAATTAGTCATTTACAGAATATATTATGTTCATGTCTAATATGCTAGTTGTATTTGATAAAATTGGTTTTATCTTTGTTTAATATGTTATTTGTATATGATCATATTTGATACTCATAATGTTCATTTATAGATATAGTTATGATCATATATTTATATTTGTTCATATGAGTATTTATTGAGATTTAAAAACAAAAGTACATTTCATTGAAACATCATTGTATATGATCATATTTGATACTCATAATGTTCATTTATAGATATAATTATGATCATATATGTATATTTGTTCATTTGAGTATTCATTGAGATTTAAATAACAAATATACATTTCATTAAATCATCATGCACATATATAAATATGATAATAATCATTTCAGTGATATGCATTCAAACTAATGTCATGTAATTAATTTATAATGTAGTGATGTGCCATTTAGAGTGATACACTTGCTTCAATTTAGAGATGGGAAATCTGAACCATTAACTCTAAAGAAGGTTATAGAACAAAATGAATATGGTAATAGTTATGAAAGATACACTTTAAACAAGTAAGTTTATATGTATAAAATAATTGTTTTTACATTCAATTATTGTACATTGTATATATATACCAAACTTATTAGGTAATTCTTAAAATTTTAGTGAAAAAAAAAAGGTTCGAGTGAAATTTGTTATGTCAAAATCAAGACCACCAGAGACAAATCAAACAATAAGGTATAAAAAGCTTTATACAAAATAACTAATTATCTTCTTCATTGTATAAATTAGTTCATACTTTAATATCATATTATATAAAATAATTCTGTTTTTTTTAAGTGAACAAAGTGAGAACATTCCTGCTACTAATGCAACAACTAAGAGTGTGTCTGCTACACATAACACAACTGACAAAGAGAGTAGGGATGAAAGGTATACTAATGATCAATTTTATATAAATAAATGTTCATTTTTATAACAGTATATTTTAATGTACAATTTATGTGCATTTTTTATTTAAAGTATTTCTTAATATTGATTTCAGCAAGCAAGAAGAAGTTCAACCAAAAGTGCAAAGCAATCCAGTAAAGAATAGTCCTTGGCCAAAAGTAAGAAAACTTAAATGTTCAATTTAGATAGACTATATGTTCATTTGAAAATCAGTACAAAAAAGTTTGCTCATGACCAATAGTAATATAAGTTATATGTTCATTTTTTTATTTACTAATCAAAATTGTAAATTCAAACATATTTTTAATGAAATATCAGAAAACCCCAAAGATGATTCAAGAATAACAACATTAAAGGACAAGATGCAAGAAATACATTTAAACATAGAGAGAAACCCAAAGTATGTTTAAATTTAAATAATTGAATTAATTTAATCAATTAATGAATATATTTCAAAGTTAATATCATACATTTACAGAAAGTACAAAGAATCGACAATCAGAATTATGAGAAATCTCAAAAGAATGGAAAAGGCAAGCAAGGAAATCAGGAAAGGTAAATGATCATATTTATTGAATATTTTTGTTTAATAGTCATAAATATCAATTTTAACAATACTATTACTTTTGAAGGTGAAGCAAAAAAGAAAGAAAAAGGGCCAATAGAAGAGAAAACTGTGGAAAAAGGTAAAAATTTTAAAATGTACATTTTTATTACAAAAAATGTTCATATTGGAAAAGCATAATATTAAATATTCAATAAGGTTAAAAAAATTAAATTTTAACTAAATAAATTTTAATAGAAGGACAAGAAGGAAAAAAAGGGAGTGAAAAAGAGAAAAGCCCTAAAGACAAAACTGTGGAAGATGTCTTTCCAAAGACAACAAATGTAGAAGGTAAAAATTTATAAATGTACATTTTTATTACATAAAATGTTCATATTGGATCTACATAATATTGAATGTTCAATAAGATTAAAAAAAATATATAAATATTAACTAATTAAATTTTCATAGAAGGACAAGAGGGAAAAAAAGAGCCTGAAAAGGAGAAAATCCCTAAAGAGAAAACAGTGGAAGATGAGTCTACAAAGACAACAGATCCGAAAGGTAAATAGTGGAAAATGTACATATTCATTACCTGAAATGTTCATTTATATTGTATATAGTAAACATTTGTCATCCAATTTAATAAATGTTTATTTAATCTTTTATATTTGATCATTTCATATGCAGCACAAATTGCACCTGATTTTGTTCAAATTGAGGATGAAACTTATCTTCTAGATCAAGATGATGATAAAGTTTCCACAAAACTTAGTGAGGAGACAGCTCCATCATCACAAAAAAGTGATCAGTCAACCAAAATGAAAACAAGATACAAAATGGTTGCAAGGAAAAACAAAAACAAAAGCCTTGTTGTTGTGCCAAGTGGTAGAATTACAAGGAGCCAAGGTAATCATAATACTTTTCTGTTACACAATAAATATTACACTTTCAAATATACTAACATAAATTTTTTTTAAAAACAATAGATGTTCTGTTAGATGAATCTGAAAAGGGAAGCCTGAAGAAGGATGTTGAACCTGCTAAAGAAACCGCAAAAATAGGACAGAAGAGAAGAATGTCTACAAGGAATTTTCCTATTCAAAAGGAAGCTGATGCACCACCTCCAGCACCTACTCCAATAAAAAAAATGGCAGGTGCTCCTGCTGAATATCCTCCAGACCAAGGCAAAAAGGGTAAATGTTCAATCTTAATGTATAGAATGATCATTTATGATGGTATATCATTAATGTTCAATTTCAATATATAGGTGGGAAAAAGAAAACTCTAGAAGAAGTGAAGAAAACTTCTAAGGTTGCTGGCAAAAGAAAAGCAGGTATATAATGATATATTATAAATGTTCAATTTCTATATATAGAATGATCATTTGAGAAAACAATTTTGTTCATTTTATCATTTGCTTACTGTACATTTTCAATACTTAAACAAAATTATATATATTTAATTTTCAGATGTCAGTCCTGCCAAGAGAAATGCTGGAAAGAGAAAAAAAAAATACAAGAAGTACCATCAGATGAACCCTCTCAAGATCCTACTGATGAAAGTTCTACTGACAGTGATGATGATAGTGAAGAGTCAGTTTATAGAGCAGAAGAAGAGCCTGTCAGTGAGGATGATTATGAGGTGGAGGAAGAGGAGGAAGAGGATGAAGTAAAGCCAAGGAAGAAACAGGCAAAGAAAGGGAATTCAGTGAAGGCAAAGGTTGAAAAGGAGGAGCAAAAGATGGTACTGTATGATGAAGGAAAGATTGAAGGTAGGAGAAAAAAGAAAATGAAAACTGAAATGGTTCAAGCAATAGAAACTGATGAAGTTGAGGAAATTCAGGAAGATGAATTTGAGGAAGAGAAATCTTCAAAGAGAGGAGGACATGTGAAGTTCATTGCATGGATAAAAAAGATGACACCTACCCAAAAACAACAAGTTGTTGATATAGGGTTAGGATCACTTCTTGACATTAGTTTACCTCAACTTGATCAAAAGTTCTGTAACTGGTTATTGGGAAGTTTTGAAGAAAATAGCCAGTGTTTTGAACTACCAAAGAATGAAAAAATAGAAATTGAGGTAGAGGATGTTAGGGTAGTTTATGGCTTGCCTACAGGAGAAATTCCAATTGTTGAGCCAAAGTCTGATAAAATTAGTGAGGAGTATGCAGAATTTCTGAAGAAATGGAGAAAATCATGGTCAGGAAAAACTCCATCAGTGAGTCAGGTATGATCAGTTTTAAATGTTCATTTTAAATACATTAAATGATCAAAAGTATAAATGTTTTGTTCATTTTGTTTGCAGATTGTGAATGGATACATAAATGATAAATTCACCAACAACAGACCACCAAGTGAACATTTCATTACTAACTTTTTAGCAGTGGCTGTGAACTGCTTGATGAAATGTGTATCAAACAATCAATGCCATTTCAAATTTCTTTATTCTATGATGGACAAAGAAAACATAAAAAATTTGAACTGGTGTCAGTTTGTATATGACTCACTTATCAAATGTCATGTTGATTGGAGAAAGCAGCAAGGCAAGGGGTTCTACAAAGGCCCTCTTCAATTTCTGATGGTATATTCTTAGATACAAAATGTTCATTTAAATTTAAATAAATGCACTTTTTTTTATTGTTTATGTTCTGTTCCATGTTTTCTTTTTTCTTGTAGTTGTTCTATTTTGATAGAGTTCAGAGGTTAGACAAAAGGCCTCCAAGAAAAATTCCTATCATATCTGCATGGAATAGAGACATGGTTCTTGAGAGGTTGAAGATTGAATTAGAATTGGGATTTGGGAGAGGGAAAATTCTACCAAGGATTGCTGCAGAAGTTGAAGAAAGTCCTAAGGTTATAAAATGATCACTTTTGTTAACATAAATGTTCATTTGTATAATCTGAAATGTTCAACTGCATAATTTTTAATATTCATTCATATAGGTTTTTATGGATGATTTTGTTTCCCTGGTAAAAACAACTTGTTCAAACCTGTCAAAGCTTTCTTCAAAATTGGTGAAGGCAAAGGATATCTTCCCTGGAAATGACTTGGTGAAAAAAGTTGATGAAGTTTTAGGAAAGGTGGTAGCTAGGGAACCATCAATTCTAAGCCAAGATGAAGAATTCTTTGGCAGTGAGGATTTCCTAAATGCACTTGCACAAGCTGAGAAGAATCTGATGCAAGGGTCTGAAAAGCAAACAACTGAGAAGCAAATGACTGGGAAGAAATTAACCAAAAAGGGAAAGGAAAAAGAACAAGAATATGACATCAGAAAAGCTTTCAGCTTGGGGTTGACTCCACCTTCTCCAGCCATTGGTAAATTCTAACTAAAAGAGACTATATATCCTAATTTTTATATGAAAAATTCTAAATTTGTGGTCTAAATTGTCCTAAACAGAAACAGGGCCCACCTTTTCAACACTTGGTGATATAATTGAACAACCAATAATTTCAACAAATGGTAATATGTTCATATATTTAATAATAATGTACATAAACTTAAGTAGAAATGTTCATTTCTAATTATTATGTGTAAATACTATTAACTTAGTGTATCTCCAAAATGATGATTTATAATACAGCTGAAGAAAAGGATGTGGGTAAAACTTCAGCAGCTTCAGAACAAAGAATTGAAGAATTTTCTAGAACTGGTATAATGTTCAATTAAAAAGTGTAAAATGTTCATTTACAAACAAGAAATATTCATTATTAATTGTATTTTTTTGTTAGACGCAGCAACTGGTTCAAAATTTGATGCTGACACTAGGTCAGATAATGAAGGATTGCCTAGAACAGGTATAATGTTCAATTATAAATACTCAAATGTTCATTTACAAAGAAATTATATTATATCTAATTAAATTTTTTCTTAGATGCAGGATCTGGTTCAGTGGTTGATGCTGACCCTAGGTCAGATGGTGGTGAAAAAAGTGATGATCCAAAAAACACAGTTGAAGGTGGAAAACAAAACAAGGAAGATGTTTTTGAAAAAACAAAAAATGATGAAAAAGTGGAGGGGTAAAATCCTGAAGACATGTCTTACTATTAGGGTTATGTAATGGTGTAGGATAAAATATCTAGATGGAACAATTTAACTTATGTTACTATCGTGTTGTAACTTGAAACTGGTGTTTCTCAAACTATTGTATGTGTGAACATTATTTTGTTGAATATGTAATATGAATGTGTGGTTTATGTTAAATCAATAGGTTTATGTTAAATCAATATCTTTCATTTTATGAATTGAAAATGATTCAGGGTGTTACATAAGAAGCTTTTATTTTATTAATATGTACTGACATTGTTTCACTTTTCAGTGAAAACAAGAAGATTGTTGCTTCATCCTCAAAAGTCACAAAAAGGTACATTATTTATATTAAGTAAATGTTCAAAAATAATAATGAACATTTTCATATACCTAAATGTACATTTGTGTTATGTAATATGACCAGGAATGATGATAAGAAAAAGTCAATTGCAGAAAAGAAGAAAAAAACTGAAAAGGAAAAGGTTGAAAGGTATAATTTCAAATTTATTTATATACACTCAAATGTTCATTTATGTTCCTCATAATTTTCTTAATTTAACAATATTTTATATTGAACAACAAGACCAAAACGCGAAAAGAAAACAATTCCTCCTGCTTTCCGATCTCCTTACTTGGTCAAGTACAAGGATCTGTTTAAAGATGAGAAAGCCATGAACCAAATTGCAGTAGACTTTGCTCTTGGTGGAAAAGATGAAAGGTAATTACTTACACTAATTAAACTTAAGGTTTAATATCTTTTATAAAAATATGTTCACATTCATATTATTAAATGTTCATAATGCAGTGCACTCTTATACTATGATGGCTTGAATCTCATCAATAGAAATGAAATGAAAACTCTTGGAGATGATGTTGAAGTGACAAATTGTGTCATAGATGGATGGGCAAGGTTTCTTAATCATAAAAAGCCGAGAAACAAGATTTATTTCTCAACAGTGCTTCATGTTAGTCTTTCTTCTTTTTTTATATTATTGATTCTATTTTCCTATGATAAATAATTGCTAAAAATTCATTTAACTTCTATATGTTTGTTTGTATTTCAACAGCACATTATGTGCACAAATAGAGTTTGTCAAGAAGGATCATCAATGAAGACAAGAATTAATGCCTTCATAGAAAGAATTGACAATGAACTGAAGTTGAATAAAATTGACAGCATTGTTGGATATAAACAGGTATTAATTCTTGTTTAATACAAATGTTCAATTACATTCAATATATTGTCCAATAACATTATATAATTTGTTCAGGTCTTCTTCCCAGTATCAACTTCTCAACATTTTTTTCTGTTGTGCGTCAATCATATAGAAGACAAAATTCATATAATTGACAATAGAAAACTACCAAAAAAGGTATCAGTCAAAGCAAAATATGAAGAACAACCAAAAATGATGGTGAGATAATATGTTCATTTATAGTTGACTACATGATCAATTATTTTTATTTATTGTTCATGTCTTCATCACAATACAAACTTCTAAACAATTTTTACTCTTTTTTCTATCAGTTAAAAGGATTGGCAGAGTACATGAAACACCTTGGATATCAAGATGCAAAAAGAATTGAAGACTACACAGTTGTTTTGGAAAAGATGAAATGGCGTAGCAACAATGACTATACAAACTGTGGAGTTTACATTATGAAGCATATGGAAACCTTCACTGCTGATCCTAATGAGAGTTGGATTTGTGATTTAAAACCAAACAATGTAAGAGTTATAAATGATCAATTATTTAAGATATAATATTCATTTATGAAACAGTAAAGATTGTTTAATTAAAATTTGACAATTCATTTTGTTCAACAGGTGGAACAAATTAGAAATCTAAGGCTCCAATACACAGCAGAACTGATGTTATTTGAAGAAAACACTGAATCAAGAGCAAATAGAAGGAAAGCTAGAAAATTTGCAACTTTGTAGTTTCAAATGTTCATTTACAACTATGTATATGTTCATTTCTTATATATGACTATTTTTTTTTTTTAGAAGTAGACTTATGGATTTTATTTTAATATTATTGTAATTGATATTTCATTTTAATCTTTGAATGAAAGTTTTTTATATAATAGATCGAAAATTCAAAATTACAAAATAGTAATTAAATCAACATTACAAAAAAGTCTAATGTTTATAAAGTTCTGGAATACTAATTATTTATCTTTATTAGCCAAACGTTTAGCTACACTTGTATCAAAAAAGGCTAACAACCTATCATATTTAGAAGAAATCTTTTTAGAACCTAATTGAACATTTCTTGATTGAAGAATTGGAACACGAGCACCTTGATCATTTCTTTGAACTGTGGGAGGAGTAACTTGAACATTCTGAACAGGAAATCCTTGATCATTTATTTGAACCGTAGG